TTTTTCAAGCGCAGTTTTCCACTTTTCAAGATTTCAACCTCACTCTATGTACGACCTTTTCTACAATCTCTGTCTTTGGTTTATGTTTCGACGTTCTCTAACAAACTAAAAAACATCCCATGCATCAGCCACCATTTAAATCTTTTTAGATTGGTTAACATCAACCGTCAGAGTTTTCAGCATGAGACAGGTAGGTATAGAAGTCCCTCCGATGTGGCCTGAATATAAAATATAAAAACTTGTTCATCTAGATAATAGGTTGCAATCCTTTTGCTTTGATAATGGAAGCCAATTGTGAAAGAAAGAAACACGAAGAACGAATTTTATTTGAGTCATTATTAATTATTATCTTTAATTATGTATATTGTCGGATCGTTAAACATACAACCGTGATATACAGCTAAAGCGAGAATTACGTGTAAGAAGTTACATTTCAATAAAGCAAAAAACTAATATGTTTATATGTACATGTATTATCAATATTTTGTTATTAATTGGATTTATAACTGAAAGTTTAATACAATGTGTAATTTATTAATAATAATTTCACGCACCAAGATACACAGTGCGTCTTAATAATGTGATTTTGTTTCCAACGTTTTAGGATAAGTTTAATAAAATATTCAACTGTGCCTGAAATTTCTTGCTACTGTACCTACCCATTATTGTTTTTAATTATATTGGGAGGAGAAAAGAAAAAGGGGCTTACCTATAGCATTTATAGAAAAACCATTTGACAGGGTGCCTGCCAAGAGAAAAGTTTTGGGATAAATATATAATGTTTTTGCCAATTTATAGTTATTGACTATTGATTGACAATTAATATTACCTACTTATACCTACATGTATTATGCAGTTTCAATCCATTACTGTATCAAAGCATTTAGAACTGATGACATAGGGAATTTCCATCAACTAAATTCATGACAAACAATCGTTTAACTACAAGAATGCTACAAACTTATCAATGGGACACTGAAAGTGGAATATTGTAGTGTGAATGAATGATGCTCCATTGTAATTCGTTAAACGCAACCCGTGCAATATTGTATCCTTAATGCTATAATTGGGAAATTTATAGGAAATATTATTTAAATTAACTTGTTATACATGAAGAAAGTAATTTAAAGTACAAGTCAATTTTCATATTAAACGAATTACATTGCCAAGAGGAAAGTTTAGCAATTTATATACTTCTATTTAATTTATCCAATTTTAACAGTAGGTACACCTTGTTTATGTTAATTATTACTATACAAATAAAACTGTTTTGCGTCATACGCCATCTTGTGTCTAAATACATTGCCTTTAATCCTGTTTAAATTGGTCAAACTATAATTAAAGATAAATATTAATTTGTTTTAAGGTAATTTGGTTAAGTATATAGCTTTAATCGCGTCACACTTGTTTTTGTAATACTAATAATATTCCCCAATTAAGCTAGTATTTTTAAGTAACAAAACACAAGAAACGTTGCTGTCCTAAAAGATTTATATGATGGTACAGGATTTAAAGTAAATAAGGTCCCAAATGCCACAAGACTTCACTAAAACAAGGCCAAAGCGCCTTGACAACACGGCTTATTTCTATCCATTTTCTTATTAGCTTAAAACTTGTTAGTCCAAAGTTTTAATTCTCGCAACTTATAAAGAGTTGACAGTCGGTAACAATGGCGAAAGGGGGCGCCAAAAAGGGGCTCACCATATAGTTTTAAAGGGTCTTCGAACCCGCAATACTCTGTTTACTACACAAGCCCTTTCTGCCCCTGTTCTGTTCTCGCACTAATACGATTTCATGCTGGATTTGCGATGCGGATTTAATACGGATGCGAGGAGCAGAAAATCTTCAAGATTTTAGAGACGAACTTCCATAAGAAATTATATCGGATCAACTTTATTTGAATTTAAAAGCTGTTTTTATACTCCTATTTACGTTATAATAATAAATATTTTGTAAACATTCGAAACTGCTAAATATTTTCATCATTGACAGGTTTTGAATTAGTGTGGGTTCCTTCATTCTCCACTCCATTCTAGATTTTGCCAGGTGTTTATATTCTGTGCGACCTGGTACCAGTTTAGTTCTGCTGTTTGCTTAATGTCGTCGTACCAGCGTTGTTGAGATCTGCCACACTTCTTCGTTCCCCCCAGGGTCTTCATCTTTTTACTTTTTTGCTCCAGTTGTTGCTCGAGTTTCCCGCTACGTGGCCGGCCCAGTTCTATTTGAGGGTGCATATTCTAGGTGTAATGTCTGTTGTATTTCTTATCCACTCATTAGTCTTGTGATCCCTTAGGACCCTTAGTGTAGTACCTATCATTTTCCTTTCAATTGCTCTCTGATGTAGGTACTTGCAGCTTATTTAGGATTTTTTTGGAACAGTCTATGTTCAGCTTCCATAGGCAACTACTGGCAGCATACATTCGTTGTAGACTTTAGTTTTCAGTTTCAAAGTTAATTTGGACCGGAATATGTAGCGCATTTCAACATCTCAGTAGTATTCTCCTATTAATTTCAAGTTATTGATTGACTTTGCCAAGCGTTATTTCCTGTCCTAGATACTTGTAGAAGTTTACTTTTTTCAACTATTTTGTGTCTTCTATGGCCCTTGTGTCCCTATCTGGTTGTTCATTTATCATAAACTATTTTTGATGGTTCATTTCTAATTCGATCTTCTTAGCTTCTTGAAGTGATTTTTTTAGCATGATTCCTAAGTCTGTTTCGTTGGGGGCGAATATTACGATGTTATCAGCAAATCTTAAATTATGGAGGTTTTCTCCAGATATATTGATTCCCTTATTTTTCAAATGTAGTTCCTTAAACACATCTTCGAGGACTAGAGTAAACAGCTTAGGTGATAAAATATCGCCTTGTCTTACGCCTCTTCTGATCTTTTGTATCTTCATGCATTCTTGATTTTATTTTTGTTGCGTCTTGAATATTTTTGATTATGATAATATATCACTGATCTATTCATGCTTTTCTCATAGCTCTCTCTATCACCCAGAATTCGACAGTGTCGAAGACTTTTCTAGTATCGATGAATGCTAGCCATGTTGTAAAGTTATATTCGGTCGTCTTTTCATTTAGTATTCATATGAAGATTTTCTATAGTGCTGTAGCTCTTTTTATAGCCTGTGCGTTCTTTGGATTGGTAAGCATCGAATTTCCTTTCTAGGCGATCGTTGATTATTCTCTTAAACAGTTTGTATATTTGAGACAAAGGCTTATGGGTCTTCAGTTTTCAATATGGTGTTTTTTTACAAGTTATTCTCCTGCCTCCTTCAGCACTTCTGATAGTATATCGCACTGATATCGTCCATTCCTGGGACTTTTCCATTGTTTAATTGGTTTAGAACTTTTGTAATTTGTTCCTCTTGTATATCGGGGATCTCTTCTGACACAACATTTAGAATTGTGGATGTTTTGCTTTCGATTTCTTGTTTGTTGTTGTTGCTTTTTGCGTCGTATAGTTCCTTATAGAAATTTTCCATCACACGCAATATTCCACGTCTGTCTTCTATAAGGTTTCCTTGTTTGTCCAGCAGCTTTTTAATTTCTCTTTTGTGTGCGTTCTTCCTTCTGAAATCGTTTAGGCCTTTTGTTGTTCTATCAGTTTTTCGATTTGCGCTTCTATTGGTAGTTTTTAATGTCTTTTTTTGTCACCCTTCTGGCTATTTTGTTAGTCTCTCTGTATTCTGGTGATTCTTTTTTTCCTTGTTTTATGACTTCCACATTTGTTTGTTTCTTTGCTTAATTTTTTCTGGCCTACCCTTTGGGTTCATGTTATTTTTTGCTGTTTCTTTTAGTGTTTTCGTTATTCTTTTATTATCCGAATTTATGTCTTCTTGGGGTTTTAAGGGTCTTTCTCCAGTTTTTGTGTTAATTTTGTTGCGAATTCTGTTTTTTGTGTTTTATACTGGTATGTGTGCTTAATTTTTCTGGCGACGGTTGAATTTCTCTTTCTGGTCTCCCATTTATGGCTATTCCACATCTTACCATTCCATGATCGCTACCAGTAGTTTGGGTTGGTATATTGAAATGTCCCACTCTCAGCTTTTTTTTTCAGTTATGAAAAGCACAATGTTGTATCGTAGGATACCAAGTTCTTTTTGTAAATAACGGATAACTGAATTTGTCCAAAAACCTGTTTGCTGGGATTTATTGGATATGACGATGGTGCAGTCAATTTACTAGCGCTGATGGATGACACAGTATAGATAAGCTTAAGAGGAAGACAATATTTTATGGGGCATCTTCTTCATCTAAATTTTCGAATCTTCTCGTTACCCTTTGACGACGGTTGGAAATATCCCCACGCGTCGTTTGATGTTTTTTATCATGAAAAACTTGTTTTTCATGATAAAAAACATGTATTTGGCATACATATTTTCCTCCATCCACGTCCTCGGAAATTTTGGATCTCTATGATGAGCAAACTACCTCTGTCTTCGATGTCGTCAATGTTGACACAAAGTTTTTAACTCATATATTAGTATTAGTAAATATAGAGACATCTACAGGAGAAAAATTAATGAGCCATGGACATGCTAAACAACGCTTCACCTGACGTGAAGAATAGCTCAGAAGTTGAGGAAAAAATAAGTAAAATAGTCAAGGTAACGAAAACAATAAAGAAGGAAATACTAACAGTAAATGTAGATAAGAGAAAAGCCTGGATGACTGATGAGATCCTGCAATGAGCTTAATGGAAGAAAGAACAAAATAAATAATGACATTAACAGATATAGGTCCATTAACAACCAAATTAAAAGAAAAATCAGAGAAGCAAACGAACAAGAACTCAAAGACATATGCACAGAGATTGAAATTATTTAAAGCACGACACATTTGGTGCACCTATATAAGAAAGCTCAAAGAAAAAACAAGAAAATACAAGAAGAAATCAATAGAAAAAATGGAAAATGACTAAGGAGAAATAATTGTAGACGTCGAACAAATAAAATTAACATAAAAAAATTACGTGAAAGAATTGTTCTCAGACCTAAGACTAAAACAACAAGTAACGAACGAAATAACAGGACCAGGCATCCTTTTAGATGAAGTTGAGGTAGCAATACTGTCATTCAAAGATGAAAAGGCTGCTAGTCCAGATGAAGTGCAGTCAAGGATCATCAAACTCTTTGAAGATTTCAAAAAAGAATTAACTATGATTTTCAATGAAATATACAACAGCGGAAAACTACCCAAAGAATGGTTGAGATCAGAGTTTATAGTTTTGCCAAAAAGGGTGCAAAAAATGCAGTGATAACAGAAGAATAAGCCTCGTGAGTCACTTGTTGAAAATTTAAGCATCGGAGATTGTACAAAATCTGCGAGGAACAAGTATCAGCAACACTTTTTGGTTTTATGAAAGGTCTTGGAACATGATTTGTAAAATGTATGCCTGTTTCATTGACTATCAAAGGGCATTTGATAAAGTTCACCACAACAAAATGATGGAAGTTCTGCAAGATAATGGAGCTGACGGCAAAGACTTACGCATAATCCATAATCGAAAACCTATAGTGGAATCAGTCAGCTTCTGTTAGAATTAATCATGAGAAAACAGAGGAAGGGGAAATTTTACGAGGAGTTGGCAGGGATGTATACTGTCACCTCTTATATTTAACATGTACTCAGAGGTAATCTTCCAAGAAGCCCTAGAATACACGGAAGTAGGAGTATTATTAAATGGCGCATGAATAAACTACAGCTTTTAGTGAACAGTGTAGTTGAAATTAGTAAGAAATATGGCCTAGAAGTTAACACCAGTAAAACAAAAGTCATGATAATTAGCAAGGAAAGAATTGGAGAAGTACAGTTTCCTATCAATCGTAGAACGATTGCCAACTTACACTTATCATGGTACAGTACTGAATGGGGGACCATCCCAAAGAAATAAGATCAAGAATTGGTAAAGCAAGAGCAGCTTTCATTCAAATGTCCAAACTATTCAAATATCTTGTTATATGGAGTAAAATCTTGGACCCTGACGGAGGCAACAACAAAGAGCCTTAAGCATTCGAGTTGTGGACTAATAGAAGAATCCTCAAAATAGCATGGATGGACAAGGGATCAAACACCCGAGTGCTGCGAAAACTTAATAAAGAAAGGGAAACAATGTACACAATAAAACGTAGAAAATTGGAATATCTGAGACACATTATAAGAAACGAAACGGAATATAAATTGCTGAAATGTATTTTACAAGGAAAAGTCCAGGGCAGGAGACGCACTGGCTGAAGAACTTAGGAACCTATTTGAAACATCCAATACAGCTGGTCTATTCAGAGCAATAGAATAGGGTACCTACTTGCATGGAAAATTAAGTTGATTATTGTTTATTGCAAACTGTAGGAAATCCAAAAAAAATCGTTACTTTTGTTTTTATTTCGCCCAAATATGATTAATCCGGAAGTAATTCAAATATTAAATTTTGTATATATAGATATACTGAGCATGTGCAACGTCACTAATTTATTAGATAAGTGACGTCATAGGCGGATTTCATAGTGTTGTATCTCCGTCAATTTTTGACTAAGAAGAAAAAGAAAAAACACGTGTTAACTTATTTTTCATGGACTATCGAAATCAGCAATAAAAAAATTTGATGCAAGGAGCCTATTATCATTGTTAGAATGCCAGCATTCGGTAACGGATATGCACTGGAAGAATAAGGGACATTTTACATACCGTTCCCTTCTTCTGAAAATGAATAGGCTGAACATTCTTAATATTAGTGAGAATAACCTGTATTCCACAGATACAGAGATGTTATAAGGATTCTGTTTTGCATCCAAAACTTCGTCGAATATATACTTGGGGTGGGAGGGAGGAGGGGGGTGATTCCAAATCGTATAGATTTCTGAGATAACACATAAATCATAAATATGTATCAGTAAGATAAGATGATGACTAACATAGTGTCCATCAGCCAACCAATTTAAAATAAAAATATGTGTCAAAATATGAGACGTGAAATCCGAATAAATAGAGATAACCAAATATGTCAATCAACTAGAAGAGTTATCTCAGGATGAGAAGCATGAAACATTTAAGACGTTTTCCAGGCGGGAATTCTCGTGAGATTGGAGAGGAAAACATTCAATCAATGTATCTCATCGGTCTTTGTCCTACGGCGCACAGACCTTCGCTCTTAAAAAACATCGGTCAGAAAACTGAAGGTTGCACGAAGAAAAGTGGAAGAATCATTACTTGACTTAAGCTTTAGAGACCGAGTGAGAACTCAGGGACTATGGAGGAGATGAAAGGTGATCGATGTTGTTAACTTCATCGCCAGGGCAAAATGGAAATAGGCCGGACACGTTTCTAGATTGAGGGACAAGAAAACTGGTAAGTAGAGGCCGACTGCCTACTCGATGACTTGGAACGGATCAAGACGAACTGAAATGCAACTGCCTAGAAAAGGGAGATTTGGAACCGACTTCAGCAGTCCTATGTCCAGCAGTGAATCCAAGAGGCTGTGATGATGATGATGATGCTCATAACGATATAGAGGCTGGCAGTAAAAATGATTCTAGATCATCCTGGCAGTTTGTTAGGGATATGAGAGTTTTAAATACCTTCGCAAGTAAGTTGTGGTTTGATGGTGTGGAAGATAACTTATTACGGCTACATGTGAAGTAAGTATCTCCGAATAAAATGATGGAAATATTAGTGTTAAATGCGACATTTGCTCCCTTGATTACTGTGGAAGTTGTTTTCCCTCGAGTACATCTGAAGCTAGAAGGATACCATTGAAAAAAAACGTCCTCTTATAATCTGTTTTCCCCCAGTTGCCGCTCAGTTGTGAAACAGAGTAATAAGCTTGATGAGTTACGTAATGATGTGGCTTTAAACTAATATGATATTATTTCATTCACTGAAACATCACTTAACTCAGATATTTTAGATAGTGAACTAGGATTAGATAACTACAAGATCTATAGAAAAGACAGAAATAGTAAAATAACTGGAAAGCAGAGAAATGGAGGTGTCCTTATAGCAGTGAAAAATGGTTTTACATCTGAGCAGTTGAGTAGATCACAGGATGACTCCACAGAAATTTGGGTTTTAGTAACTGTTACCAAACACAAAAGAAAGGTATTTTGTTGTGTATATATTCCGCCCTCATCAGGTAAAGACTTATATGAAAAGAATTGTGAATCAGTGGAGAGAGCTACTCACCAATATAGCGAGCATAGTTTATGTGTTGCTGAATTCCTAATTTAAAATGGTCTAACGACTCAATGGGAGTCTTAATCGATGGACATCATCCAGCTGCAGAAAGTTTGAATGAAACTTTTTCCCCTTTGAACCTTTTTCAACTGAACAACATACCAAATTACAGAGGTGCTTTCTTAGATTTAATTTTCTATGAGAATGAGAGTGACAAGGTCTTTTGCGCTAGTGAAAATTTAATAAAATGTGATAGGCATCATCCTGCCCTGGCGATTGACATTGAATGTAATGGTAGTTTTTAATGGTATAGAATATGAAAATGAGATCTACAATAAATTTAAACAATGTAATTTTGGTAATATTAGTCACATTTTACTCAATATTAACTGGGATTCAATTTTTGATAGCTGTGATATAGAAAGTATATGTAATGTTGAAATGTTTTATGAGATATAATTGACCATGTTGTTCCTATATATTAATCGTTATAAATTTCCATCATGGTTTGATGCTGAATTAAAAACAAGTGTTTTCAATAAAAAAAATTGCACATAATACATTTAAGCATACTAAAAACCCGAATGACTATGCCAATTTTTGTGCTCTCAGAGATCTGTGCAAAAGAAGAGCTGAATTCTGTTATGATAATCTTATAAATAGAACTGATAATAATATAAATGTTGATCCTCAATGATTCTGGAGGTTTATTCGTATGACGAGAGCAAACAATATCCCACTTTCCTTAAAATAACGGGTGATTCATCTAGAGGTACTTTTTTCAAAAATAAAAAAAATTGGAAAATTCAATTTTATCGGGTAATGTTTATTATCATACAAAAGAACTATATTTTACATTCATTTTTTTAAAGATTATGCTTTCCAAATGTTGGCCTTGACTGCGCCTAATATGGTCCATTAGTTTGTTTGAGTGGTATTTGGCGAATGACATGAGTAATGTTGGCTTCCAATGCCTCAATCGTAGCTGGCTTATCCTGGTAAACTTTGGACTTCACATAGCCCCGAAGGAAAAAGTCTAGAGGTGTGATATCACATGACCTAGGCGGCCAATTCATCGGATAATCGATCTTGTTCAATCTTATCAAGTGCCCAAAGACTAAAACGGTGACGATTAGGAAGATCTATCGGCTTCAATAGACCTATCTATTTTTACCTGTGTGCGCGCGCAACACGAGGCAATGCATTTTTATTGGCTAACTAGTACATGTGTGAAGTAATCCTTTTGCACGCTGGGCATCTCCTTGTCCTTGTTCATTGCCCGTGGTCTGACAAGGATGAAATTATACTTGATATTCAACTTAACGTAGCTTGACAAGTGATCGATTTTCAAATTGTTTGTGTTTTTGATTGACAAATACGTTGCATGTCATGCGTTTTTCTTCCTCCCTTTTTTATCCCGTGCAAATAATAAGAACGGATTGCTATACGTAAGTCTAATATAATTTGGTACGTTTTGCCTCGTCTTGCGCAATAAGCGTTCTGCATCTTTTTTTATCTAATTAAGTTTTCGTATTATTACCTCTTTGTCTGGTAAAATAGATAGGTCTATTCTTGCACAAGTTGAATTTTATATGCTTTCAAACCAATGATCCTCACGTAAAATACGCAAAGTTATTGCATAAGACAAGCCAAGCTGTTGAGAATGGCGCCGAATGAATTCATCACGGTCATCGTGTACACTTGCAGCTACTGTCACTATATTTTCTGCACTACGTGCTGAATGTGGTCTATTTGGTCGAGTATTATCCAATAATGAAAACTGAGTTTCAAATTTTCTAATGGTACAGCGAATAAAGCGCTCAGTAGGCCGATTATGTGGACCATAAGTTGCTCGAAGCGCACGAAATACATTCCTCACAGAACTCTGATTTTCGTAATATAGTTTAATAATTTCTAGACGTTGTGACGGGCTTAAGTCTTTCCATGATGAATTGTCAAACAATAGTGAACACCATAGAGAAATATAATAGTAGTAAACTACGAGAGACGTTTGTTTAATGTAACAATCTGGAAGTGTGTTTGTGCACATACCCGTAGCGTATTTCGCATGGTGTGGCAGATTATTGAACTAATTACTTCGATCGTTTCTGACAACTCGGTTTAATTTGTCTTTGTCAGCAACTTGCCCGAAAATGTTCTATCTTTTTTTAACACATACAAAATACAAAATTGTCAAAATTTGACAAATTATTGAATCGTCTATGATTGAATCCGAAGACCATCAATCAAAAACTGAATACTCATCATCATAACTTCGAATTTCTTCTATTATTTATATTAGAGAAATGAGAAAACATTCTGTGATCATAGATATTAATTAAATACGCAAAACCGACACCAATAATAGTAGTCTAGGAAAATAGTCGAAAAATACATGCATTGCAAAAAAAATAATTCCTACCCAAATGAACTTTTCAGGGATGATAGGGGGCGGGTGGGGATCATAAAACCGAAAATATCAAACATTCACCCCTCTGGCGTTTTGCGCTATAGGGGTTGAAAGTGCGCCATTGGCGATTACTTGGTACAGGGTGTTTGTTTATAACTGGAACACTCGATAACTTTTTTATTATTGAAAATAAAGGGCATGTTTAAATTGGAAAATTTCTTGGTAAATTGCAACGATCTTTGTCGCTACAACGATATTTTTTTGTCGCCATAGATATACAGGGTGCGCCAAAAAAGTCATTTTTCTAAATGGAACGCCCTGTATATTTTTGCATTTTTAAAATTCTTAGAAGATAAGCTTCACGAAAATATCAAACACTATTTGGAAAACAAAAATACACAGTGCGGTTTATTTAAAAAAAAAAACCTTTTTGGCGCACCCTGTATACCTATGACGACAAAAAATATCGTTTTAGCGTTTAAGGTTGCAATTTACCAAGAAATTTTGAAACTTAAACATACCCTTTATTTCCAATAATAAAGAAACTTGCTGAGTGTTCCAGTTATAAACAAACACCCAGTACCTATTGATTTTACAAAAAAAAAATTCAGATAAAAGATGTGCAACATTATTTGATCTACAATGTTTATCTGAAGACTTTTTTGATTAAGGGCCGTCTGTGGTCATAAGGGCCGTTTGAAATTTTATAATGAAAATGAAAAATTTCAACCAACGTGAAAAATTTTTCTACAACACATATAACATTTTCGCTTTATGAGGTTTTTACTCACCCCCTGCCGTTCTTCAATAGGGGTAGTTTAAAGTTTATTTATTTTTTCACAAAAAAAAATTCCTTACAAAAGTTTTATAAGATTACATTTCCTACACTTTTTCCTAATAAACTTTTTTTGTAACTCATCCCCATTCAGCGGGGGGACACTTCCCTTAAGGAAATTTTAGTTTTTAGGGGTATATATTTTTTTTTTTTTCTTTTCTTGCCTTTAGTGCATATAAAAAGGTGCAATTAACATTGTATTAAAATAATTTTTTTTCCACCACCTTTTTGTTTTTAGGCGTAGTTCGCCTATTTTCACCTTTACAAAAAAAAGTTATGGAGGAAAGTTGCTCAAAATAATAAAATGAACAAGTTTTCTTTATAATTTTTTTTTGTAAAGTTGAAAATATGCGAACTACCCCTAAAAACAAAAAGGTGGTGAAAAAAAAATTCTTTTAATGCAATATTAATTGCAACTTTTTATATGCACTAAAGGCGAGAAAAGAAAAAAAAAAGATATATATACCCCTGAAAACTAAAATTTTCCCGAGGGAAGTGTCCCTCCGCTGAATGGGGGTGAGTTACAAAAAAAAATGATTAGGGAAAATTGTAGGAAATGTCATCTTATAAAACTTTTATTGAGAAAATTTTTTTGTAAAAAAATTAAAAAACTTTAAACTACCCCTATTGAAAAACGGCAGGGGGTGAGTAAAAACTTCATGAAGCAAAAATGTATGAGTTGTAGAAAATTTTTTCGCGGTTAAAATTTTTCATTTTCATTATAAAATTTCAATCAGCCCTTATGACCACAGACGGCCCCTAATCAAAAAAGTCTTCAGATAAACATTGTAGATCAAAGAATGTTGCACATCTTTTATTTGAAACATTTTTTTGTAAAATCAATAGGTACCATGTAATCGCCAATGGCGCACTTTCAACCCCTATAGCGCCAAACGCCAGAGGGGTGAATGTTTGATATTTTCGGTTTTATGATCACCCACCCTCCCCCTATCATCCCTGAAAAGTTCTTTTGGGTAGGATTTTTTTTTTTGAAAATCGACAATTTTCCTAGACTATAGTGTGTTTTCGAATTTGCAATGATGCGAGATGCAGTAAAAAGGTAATCACAAAGCTTATAATACAAACATTTTTAGTTACTATATATTTATAAAATTGGAATAAAAAAATAAGTTTGTTTAAAGATATCTCAATTTTTGTATTGTTCAATTACCTCCTTGACCCCCTTAAGGAATCTCATTGCATCTATTTTGAATTTTTGAAAAATAAGTTCTGTTATCGTTCTAAACAGTTGCTTGGTAAATTTTAGCAAGTTTTTTCAACAAATGTTTTGCTTTGCAATTAACTGTTTTGAGCGATTACAGTACTTTATTTTTAATAAATTTTAAATAAAATTAAAGTTAATAATTTAATTATTCAAAAAAGCCGCCTTTTCACTGTCGGTAAAGAAGAAACCTGCATTTAAACAATGTTCACTCTTTTATTGCTGTCCGTAGCCACCAGAGGCGCTAACGTCGACATTGTGCCAGTTAAGTACAGGACTTCTCTCGTAGTTTACTACTATTATATTTCTCTATGGTGAACACAAATACCGTGACAGTTTTGAAGTTTGACAGTTTGATCTGTCAAAAAATCACTTCCGGAAACAGTACCTCTAAATGAATCACTCATTATGAAGATCTACATCGTAATGATGGTCAGAGTAATGCTTTATTATTATCAAAATATTTTTCATCTGTGTATACACAGTCCATCCATGAAGTTCACTTCAACTTATTGGAAAATAGTTCTATCCCAGGTAATTACAGTATTGGTATTGGTGATTGATGTTAATAAAGGTACTGGTCCAGATGGTACAGCCCCTCTGTTTATAAAAAATTGCACATCTGCATTGTCAAGAACGTTATGACTTTTATATAACAAATCTTTAGTCAGGAGTATTTCCAGATGTATGGAAAATCTCATTTGTTACACCAATTTTTGAAAATAATGGTTCTAGAAATGATGTTGAAAATTATAGACCAGTTACCATAATGGCTCATTTTCCTAAGGTTTTTGAATGTATTGTTAGTCGGTATTTGTGTTCATGTTCCAAAGGAATTAAATCTGATAAGCAACATGGTTTTATGAAAGGGAGATCAATAACAACAAATTCGCTTACTTATCAACATACTATTTCTAATGCTCTTGAACAGAAATAACTAGTCGATAAAATTTATACAGATTTCGAAAAAGCTTTTGACAGAGTTGATCTCAATATATTATTGATAAAGCTGTCATATTATGGTGTCAATGGTGCACTCTTCTCTTCTTGTGGTTGAAGTCTTATTTAATAGGTAGAAGGCAAAGAGTTAAAGTGAAACCTTTTCTATCTGACGAGTAAAATAGTGTCATCTCAGGTGTTCCCCAAGGTGGTCATCTTGCTCCGTTACTCTTTAACATATTTATAAATGACATAATAGACTGTATACAATTCAGTAAGAAAAACACGTACACCATGTATAAATTCATAATATTCCTTCCATGATACTTTGAAAATGTGAATATGATAAAAGACTTAGCAGTCATATTTGATAATAATCTGACATTTGGTGATTATAATGACTACATTATGTAATAAGGCTGTAAACATTCACACCAAAGATTTTGAAAATGTTTATGCTCCAAAAACCCTATGTTAGCCTTGTTAGATCTAATTTGGAAAGTAATTGTTGTGTTTGGTCACCCCATTACCAGGTTCATAAGGATAAGATTTAGCGAGTTCAGAATAAGTTCTTAAGATAAGTATGCTTGTTATAAATTGGGTATTAGCAGAGAGAATTTCACGTACGGTTATATTAAAAATTTGTTAAAAATCAAACCATTAAACGAAAGGCGTACTAGTTTTGATAAAACTTTTATTTATAAATTACCTAATGATAATATAGATTGTAGTGAACTTTTGGCGCTGATACCCATTTACGTCACTCCAAGACTGTTGAGGGTTGTTGATACATTCAAACTACAATGTCATCGAACAAATTATGGACAGTATTCTTCACTAAATAGAATGCTTATGAATGCTAACGATCTGGAAAAGGATGCATTCAGCACCTCACTTTATTGTCTTAGAGCATCTGCCAATTTAGTAACACCTCATCTTAGTTTCCTTTGTGTTGACTTGTTTTTTGAGAAATTTTTATGTTTTGTCTTATTAAGTTTTTGATCTATCATTTGTAAAATTGGGTCATAGCCTATACCAGTCAGTCTTATCGCTCTTTGTCTGTTCAATAAACTATGTTTTTGCTGAGGATCCTACGTCGCCGTTGGTGAGTACCTGATGTAGTGATATTTTGATTTCGTTGGTAGAAATCTTAGAGCAGGTAAGTTCCTAGGTGGGAGGAGTAGGAACATGGAGTTTGAAAATGAAGCCGTTTTTTTTTTCAGGTATTTTGAGATCCAAAATAATGGCAGTATAGCTTACCCTGCGTTTTTATTCTCATCAAATTTTACCGAGGGATCCACCATTCTATGGCCGTCATTGTCATTTTCCATTCACTAAACAAAGACAGCTAACTCATCGGTGATGTCACCGATGAGAATAAAAACGAGGGGTTATTCAATGCTTTACCTGTCGTTTGGCGTACAAACACCTGCTGAAAACTGGCTTCACTTTTAGGGCGAATCCCCACGGGCGTAATTAGCGCAATCGGCGTAAACGTCAATTCTACGCCAATTTTGACGTAACATCCCGCATGTAGTGCATCAAAACCACAACAAAAACATTTTCTAACACAAATATCTTGTTTATTTTTTGCCAGGTTGTAATGAAAATTTACTTATTTTTTGTTGTTGTAGTCCTTTTCCTTTGATTTTCTGTTATTGTTCTATCATAGGTGAGTTCGGCTTGGCAACTCTTTTGACTCCTTTGACACTTTTCACTGCAAATGCGTTCGACTAACCATTTCACTCTTCACTCTGTGATCAGGTTACTATGAAACTGCTCTTTATCCACTCCAACTCCGTTCTGCCAAGCCGAACTCACCTCATATATTACGTCACAACTTTGCCACGATTACGCCGAAAAGTTCAACAAAACCCAACTTTTTGCCGAAGCTATGCCGTAGCGGCAGCGTAATGTCAAAAATTAAAGATGGCTGCATTGCCGCCAATGAAATCATACAAATTGAATCACATGATTAGTTACGCTCATGTTACGCTTACGTCAATTACGCCCGTGGGTTCTCGCCCTCAGTTTCATAGCAGAATGGTGCGTTCCTGCTTCTTATGTCCGTAGGACAGCGCTTTACCTGCACTAAGGTAGAAATAGTAAACCATTGCCATGACAAATATCCAGTACCAGCCAAAACGTCTGTTTTGTTAATTAATCCAAACTTTTAATAAAGTATTGGTCGAATGAACTAGGTATAACATATCTAAGTAAATTTAGCAAAAAATTTTATAGTTTTGACTTTCAAAAAAGCCATCATGAAAAGAATGCAATGCCAGTCTGGCTTACGGTTTAACTACTTACAAGTAGATTCCGCAGAAAATCCAAAAGCCGGACGTCTCTTTTAGTAAAGCCTGCATTGAAGCACCGGGGAATCGTGACCATTGGATTCCGCTGGATCAACGTGAAAAGCAGATAAACGTTTTGGGATTTGCCAGAGGGCCACTCTGCTACGGGATTATCCCCAGGCCGCTATACAAAAGAGGGCTTGTATCTCAGATTAGTATGCCCATATATATTCGTTAGTAAAATATGTCAAATATATCAGACTACAAAATTAGGCTTTCATTCAAACATGCTGATTCATATTATTTCAATAAATCCACTTATTATACGCTTTGAATTAACTTATTATTGAAACAGTTTTATTGGTGAGTTTGTTCTGTAACGTCACGTCACAGAATTTTATAGAAGAAATAAGAAATACTATACTACATCAGTGTCAAAAAATAAAAGATTACCAAGTCATAACCTAATCTGACACAACAAAAACTATAGGTAACATTTTTCAATTAGAAAATTAGTCTATCAGGATGCACATTACCGCAAGGCCTTTGCAATCTCCAATAATGGACCCTTAATGAAGAAAGCGCCAAAATCCGAAGGACGCAAAAACCCCCTGTAACGCTCATATTTTACGTGGAAAGGAAATAAGAAGGCCTCTCTCGTTCTGGATGGGCTCCACTGTCACCTGTTTAACCGCGCTATCAATTGATCATTTCTGACTTATTTTCCTTATCATCTTTTGTTGCTTTTTGAAGGCTTAGAACCAGTGTCGTTCGTTGAACATTTCAACTGAGAAATTGTACTTGTTTGTCTATTGTAGAAGAACAATTTCATAAGGGTTTTCTTTGTTAATATTTTGGTTTACCTTCACATCGTCTTGTCCTACTTTTATTGAAAAATATGTTGATTATATCCTTGGACCTCACCATATTTACTTCTGTTATTATTCAATTTTAGTTTTGACACTGTCAGCTGCTGAATGGTGAGTCCCATTTGCTACTTTTCGCAGTTAGTCGATATCTGTTTTATACTTTGTTAGTTACAAAACTTAGGTACCTAGTATTCTTAATATTTTTCAACTTATAACTATTTGATTTTATTTTCTGAACTGGCTTTCCGCAATCTAGAACCAAAATACCAACAGGTACAATGAACAACAAATATCTGTGAACCGGTAACAATAGAAGCCACCGGAATAATGTACTCTTCAGTGAAAATTAAGCAGGAGTTTTACATGTCAAATTCTATTCTAAACCTGCCAGATAACATCTACAATTTTTCATCAATTTGTTCTTTTTTTTGTTTCAGGCAAATCTATCCCAGTCCACTGCATCGTCGAAGCCATATCAGTCTTGGACGAAAATCGCTTCCAACATGGCGTCTGGAGACGCAGACCTATGGTAGAAACCGACACCTATGTAATCATTCCAATTGGTACGCCCTTCAACAATCTAGTCCAAGCAGCCCTTTTCCGATTGGGCTATTCATCAGAAAGTGCCGCAGCAGCTAAAGGCTCGGTAATAATAAAGAATTGGAAAGCTTTAAATTTCGATCAGATTTCGGATGATCCTTTGGTTACGGTTGGGGATATATTAGGCGAACTTTCCACTGTGGCTACGTTGAGGATTCAAGTGTTTAGAGGCAAGCCAGGATCGTTGAATGATATTAAAGATAAACTTTTAAGATATCTGTTGTTGCAATCGCACGGAATTTTGTTGTCATCTGGATGCCCTTTAGATGAGGTAAGAATTATTATATTTATTTAAAAACTAAACCTACCTATTATCAATACCATGTTGTTATAGCTGTCAAGCCATAATGGCATCGAGTCGTCTGTTTATGGAGGAAAAGGAGATAGGTTAGTCCTAAATACGACTGCATATTTTGCACAGAGTATTGTTTCTTCCTAATATAAAACGAGATAATGTCATTTTATATAGTTGACACTATTGAGCATTCTGGTGCACTCAAAAAGGGATTTCAGCTGACACTTTTCCTCGATCTATAATGAAGAATTAAGAATAGATGCCATTTTTTAAATATTAATTTTTCTCAGATATCGACAGGGCACGTTTTTTTTTCTTTCTATAATTGTGCGATATTTTAATTTTTTTAATTGGTTCTTTAATGATGGAACAAATAAATTTGTTTCCGATTTTCCTAGTTATTATACGAAAATTTAGCCTTCGTAATCAAATTTGCTAGTTCTTGATTTTGTACATTGCTGGTGCCACTGCAAATAATTGTTAGGGCAATTGCATTTAGTTATTCTATGACCACCGGTAGTACAAGGTAAAACTAATTAATACCTCCGATACGAGCCACCTATCTTAAACTTTAAGTATATCTGCAGTATTTGGCTACTGATCATGGGATACTTGAATCTCATTTCTTGCGTTATCAGTTTCTTTCCAAGTTTGATGAACCAAAGTTTTGCAATCTACATAATCCTATCTTTACCAACAACAACTTTTATTGAACTAATTGGTTTTTAAAAATTTACTAATCACCTATATCACTTCAACATCGTCCCCATCTGACTCTCTGTTTTTGTGATAAACCTCATCTTGCCTTTGGGGACACATTGAATTCGATACACCACGTCGCTGAATCTTTTTATACTCTTGCCATTTTGGTGTTAGTTTTGGAGATCTACCTTTTTTCCGTTAAGGATTATAAAGCTAAACTCTGTCATTCATCTAAATACCTGCAGAACTTTCCTAAACATCATATCTCGTTAACATTTGGTCCCTCGCAACTACATATTTCATGGAATATGGATGTGAGCAACCTTTTCCGCAAATAGTCAGTAGAGTTTCGACACTAAGTCAGAGGGTGACTGAAGCTCTCTTCCAAGCAACACCTTGGCTGGTTTAATTTCTGTTGTGTTATGTACAGGGTGAGTCACTATATTTTGACACCCACCTGCAGCCGTAATTACAGGTGATAGGTAAAAGGTGCAAATACAAAAGTTCTGGCATTTTATCTGAACCGCCAGAATTTTAATTTAGATTGAAGAAATGAGCAACGGAAAGTGAAAAAATATGTCGATGTTTACTTTTTTAAACTGGAATGCCCTTTATTTTTTCAAGTTCTCGTTTTTTTGATTTTGATTCAGAATATATATAGGTAATATGTTGTTTCTTTCAATAGTTTTGGAAATATATGGAGTTTAGTAATTATTCAAACACAGTAGTTTTTTGAATATATTTTACCTTGATTTACCTGTCACATGTTACAAAACATTCTAATACCTGAATAGGTCCTTGAATAACTAAACTCCAGATATTTCCATAACTATTGAAAAAAACATTGACATATTATATACAGGGTGTCCCACGAAGTTTTTCCCAAATGATAACTTCGGAACGCATCATCGTATGTTCCACTGTAAATTTTTTTATCATTTTCTTCTACAAAGCCTTGATAAATATGGCATTGCCGATTTTTTAATTTAATTTTCTAACGAAAAATGCCATAATATAAAATGAGTTACATTTAAAATTCGAAAGTTGACGTCACTTGACCGAAATTGAAGCGAAAGTGATGAAATTGGATGACAATTGACAATAATAGAAGCGGCACAAGAAGTTACCCAGAGCCTCAAAATTTCAATTGTATTGGATGGCGCGTTCCGTAGTTATTACCTGGCAAAAACGTCGTGAGACACCCTGTATAATCTGAATAAGAAAAACGAGAACTTTAAGAATTTGAAAGAAAATAATGTACATTCCATTCAAAAAAAGTGAACATCTACATATTTTTTTACTTTTGCGTTACTCATTTGTTCAATCCAATGACATCAAAACACAGATAGACAGATCATCCCATTCATAAACTGATATTTGTTGTGTTAACAAGACCACCCATAGGCCAGGGAAGGTGAGTTGCTCGCGGGGTCGGGGTGGGGAGACATCATTGCTCAAAATAGCGTTAAAAAACCCTGCTCACGCGTGGATATACCTCAAAAATTAATTAGGGAATCTAAACCACGTGACTTTTGCCAACCAGCCGGCATTTTGGAATTTTTATGAGGTTAGAATACGGGTTGTTACATGCAATGAACTATAGTCAAAAACTGGAATGCGCACACATTGCCATATCTGCCAAAAAAATGTAGCCATGGAAGATAGATGCCACAAAGGGGAATGTTGTTTTTTGTGTTGCTCGCTGACATATGACGTTTTGGAAAGTTTTGTCATATTTACCTTCACAGGTTTCATCAATTGGAAGCAATTTCCGCCATTTAACATAATGAGTGCGACAAAAACAGGTATCCCCTCCGCAGCAGCGGCACTAGGCTTCACGTTCGTCAATATGTGTTCGCATTCCAGTTTTTGTATATAGTTCATTGGTTACATGTCAACGATGTCAGGGAAGTGTCAGATTTGGGAACTCGCCCCGTGTATTGATAATCCCGCCAAAAAAGAAAATATGTTTTTTGTTTATTGTTTGCCAACCAGGCGCCATTTGGACAGGTCGTTGGATTGCCTGATTGGATGAATAAGTAAAATGACAATTTGACAAATGAACTGAAAATATTCGATACGAGCACTTCATTCTGGAAGTAGGTATCAATATCGTTTTGGTCGTTTCTTGTTTGACGCTAATGAATAATCCCTGTGTGCGATAAAGATAGCTAGCTACTCCAACCAACACCTGCCTGCCATCGAACAAGCCACTTCTGGGCGTCATTTTGCTACAATCCGCTGTTGCCAAATGCAGTTCAGAAATAAAATTGAAAACATTAATTAGAAAAGGAGGAAAATATATTATTTAGGGATTCAAGACAAAATTTGACATTCTCAGTGGTGGGGCTAGCACAAAGGCCCAAAAGAGACAGAGAGATGTTGTCATACGGAAATTTTGTTTATTGTTCTGTCTATCTGTGGTTTGATGTCATTGGTTCAATCTAATTAAAAATTCTGGCGGTTCAGATAAAATGCTACAACCATTGGCTACAACTTTTCTATTTACACCGTTTACTTATCACCTGTAATTACGGCTGCAGGTGGGTGTCAAAATATAGTGACTCATCTTGTACCTGTATGCAAAATAGAGGTATATGCTCAACCCAGTCATCATGATACTTGTCAACTACTTCAGACATGTTCTTCGATTCTGTTGTTGCACCGCTCACCAATAACGCCATCTGATTGTGGAAGTTGTGCTCTTTATCTGATTGCAGTTTCAGTGGGATTCCAAACTTAATTAAAGAATTGTTGTGATAAATCTTAAAAGTAACTGTGCGCCTAATATGATATATTGCCCATTATCTCTTTCGCCAATATCCAAACTTCCAAAGCAGTCTTTCTTATCATTTCGATCATCATATCCATATGGGGCTTCTCTAGTACTAGCCAACTAGTCCCACTATGTTGACTTTTTGTAGTTTTCATATTTTTCCATTGATCGGTCAGCGTCACCAGAAGAAGAGCGAGATCTCTGCCTTACTCTATACCCAATTTTGAAATGTCCTCTTCTCTCTTCTTCGGTAGCGGTAAGATGCGTAACCCCTTTCAAGCTCCCTTGCCTCCTTTACGTACCTACCAATTTTTTGTAATTCTTCCAGAAGTTCCTTCATTGTGTGTTCAATTTCTTCTAGGTATTGGTTCCTTTCCTTTTTTTATCGGCAAAAGTCTAATTTTTGGTTCATATATTTTACAGGGCTTTGATTAGGGCTTTGCTGATGCTAGGTACATCAGTCTCTGTAAATTCGTATTTCTTATTCCAATATTGAAATTTTCGGCTTCTAGTTGTTCGCGCATATCTGCTGTTGCTTCCGGATAAGCCAAATCAAAGCTGCCGTGGATGTTGATTTCCATAATCACTCTCTAACGCATCAACAAGCGCACCGTAGTATTGTTGGGAAGTTGGCGAAAGATTCTCTAACAGGTGTAAGGCAGGACCACGCATTGCTATAATGGAGCTATGTCATCAGAGCTCGAACCATTATCCATTGCAAATTTCGAACGACGCGTGTATATCGCCCACGATGTCTGACCATTGCATGATGATGGATTGCAGGCGAAGCTGATTCATCTACTAATTTGAATATTCCAATTCTTGTTCTGAACACGTCTTATTCATGTCTCGGCGAAAAAAAATATTTATCTTGCCCTTCCTCGAAGCTAGCTTGTTCATAAGATATAATGGATTAAACCCATAATTCTCGTCTTAGTTTAAACTTTTCCTGAAATCTGTTCTTAATTGTTTTCCATTTTGTCTGGGCTTCTTATTCTTGTATTTTTTCTGAACCTCCGATCTTCTTGTTGCAAAAATGTTGCAAGCCAGTCCTATTCTTCTTGTTTTTCTTCTTATCTTCGAGCATCCTTTTGATCCTGTTCAACCAAAGAACCCCGAATTCTTTGGTTTCCAAATAAAATATTATTGAATGTTCCGGAACTTTGAAGAAAACCCGTTTTTGAACTTGTTATTTCGGTCACTGCATCAATTCAAGAAAAGTTCCCACTAATTGAATTCATCCACTAAAGTGCTGGATTCGTTCCACTAGTTATCTCGCCAATTTCGATATAGTACATATATATCCTATTCACAATCCGATGTCCACAGGTACAGGTAAATTTATCACCTTTCCCTATCAAATAGCATTGAAAGGTGATAAATTTTACCTGTACCTGTGGACATCGGATTGTGAATGGATAATACATAGCTCATAATAATATCCCAGTTCTGACTCACAAGTGTCCAGTTCCAGTCCTTTATTCGGGGAGAAACCTTT